ATGTAACAGGCTGTGTTCAAAGCCTCAGCCCAGAAACGTTTAGCCACATGATTCCCATGTAGCATAGCCCGAGCCATTTCCTGAAGTGTTATGTTCTTGCGTTCAACTACTCCATTTTGCTGAGGAGTTCATGGTGCTGAGTATTGGTGAGTGATCCCCTGTTCACTGCAGAAACGATCAAAAACTTCATTCTGAAATTCTCCCCCATGATCGCTTCTGATTGTTTTTATACCATTCACCCGATCAGTCTTGAGTTGAAGAGCAAGTATTCTGAAGCTGTCGAACGTGTCTGATTTTTCACGAATGAATCTGACCCAAACATATCGGGTGTAATCATCAACAAGGAAAAGTGCATACCTCTTGCCTCCAATAGTCTCGGTTTGCATTGGTCCCATGAGGTCCATGTGAACCAAATCAAGAGCATGATGAGTCTGAATGTTAGGCACAACTCGATGTTGAACACGCACCTGTTTCCCTTGTGTGCACGGACCACATACAAAGTCAGGGACTAACTTGATTTTTGGCATGCCACGAATTAGTTATTTGTCAGCCAGTCTAGCCATTGTGCAAACATTCATGTGTCCAAGCTCCATATGCCAAAGATGCATATCAGTGTGAGCACCAGTACTGATGCTGATGCACTGAGCAGGTGGAGGTATCCATCTGTAGCAGTTGTTGCTGGTGCGAGTTCCATACAGGACAATTTGTCCGTTGTCAGTCACTGCTTGACAGGTTGTCCTGGTGAAGCGTACTGACAGCCCTTCATCACACAGTTGACTATTGCTGATCAGGTTAGCTTTCAGCCTATCAACAAAGTAGACTTCAGACAAGTGTGGTTTGGCTGGACCAGATGTTCCTCCTACACCTTTAATTTTTCCTTTAGCACCACCCCCAAAAGTAACTCTACCAGCTGATACCCTTGTTAGTCTATTCAGCTCAGCCTGAGTCCCTGTCATGTGTCTTGAACAGCCATTGTCAAAGTACCACGGAGCATCCTCTGAGTCCTGTACTGTATGCACAATTGTTAGAGCACGATTATCACCAGACTTCATTTTCTTGATCCATCCCTGATTCTGATGTTTTCCATTCCAGAAGAACTGATTTTGGCTGATGAGGTGCTGAATATCTTTTTGAAGACGGTAGCAGTGGATCTTGATGTGTCCTGGCTTTCCACAGTAATAACAGCCAGATAGTCTACCGTGTCTATAGATCTCACTAACGTTGTACTTTACAGCTCTGTTCCCTGCAGCTGATGACTTAGGTTGCTTCATTGGAGTGTTTCCTGAGGTAGCCGCTTTCACATTTGTTCTGTCAGAATTCACTGGTAACTGTCCTTGATGAGGAAGTTCTGAACCGCGAACAAATTGAGTTGATCGACCAGGCATAGTGCCAGCATATCCAAGACCATAGTTGCTCTTGCTTGACTGTCCAATGCTCAGAAGTTTATCAAGATCTTTGGTTCCTTTTGATAGCATCTTGATGTTTCGAAGCTGCTCAGTCAAACGCCCATTCAGCTCCCGACTCTTCTTTTGTTCTTCTGCGAGAAGACTCTTGAGAAAGTCTGAGTACTTAACTTGCTCAGCAAGCTGATTTTCAGCAACTTCAACTTCACACTGCAAGGCAAAGATCTTGTCATCCTTTTCTTCAATTATCTGAGTGTTGATCTGGAGACTGCCCTGCAAGGTCGTGATCTGTTTATCTTTATCAGAAATTTGCTGCAGTAGATCCTCCTTTTCTTTACTTGCATTGACCATAACAAGACAGAGAGTCCAGTTTTCTTCCGCAAGAATTTCTCCATCATCAAACTCATCATCCTTATCAGATTCTCTCCCAGAATCTGCACCCTCATTGATTACTCCAAGAAATGCTACGTAGTTTAGAAGAGACTCCTCACCGCTTTCACTGCTATATGACTGAGACTCCTCTTTGATAATCAACGACCGTTCCTTTCGCTTTTCTTGAGTAACACACTCAGTCCTGATATGACCAAAACCACTGCATTTATGATACTTGAGCGTCATTCTCTTCTTGGCGGTTGGGCACTCAGTTTTAAAGTGTCCATATCCTTCACACTCATGGCACTGCATTTCCGACTTCCTTGAACCCTGTTCAGACTTGGTTTCCGAATTTGATCTTCTTCCGTCCCATCCTGACTTGCGTTGACCTCTATCGAACCTCTTAAAGTATTTCTTGACGATCAGTCCCACTTGATCATCAAGACTGGTTTCCTGAGGTTCGCCTTGTTCAGCCGAGAATGCAATACATTTCCCTTTCGCCTGATTTTTCTGAGATTGTTTCATCTCATATGCTTGCATCATCCCCACGATTTCATTGAACTTCATATCATCCGAGTCTCTTGAAACTTCAATGGCTGATATGTAGGACTGAAATTTATCAGGGAGGCTCCTCAGAAACTTCTTGACCAGTTTTTTTTATCTTTGTATGTTTTCCCAAGTACTTGAGCCTCATGTGCAATGGCGCTGAGTTTGCCGCTGAACTGGTCTGCAGACTCTCCTGATTCCATGGTCAGCGTTTCAAACTGGGAAGCTAACATGTCCATCCAGGTTCTCCTAACCGTAGAGGTTCCTTCATATGCGGTCTGCAGTGTATCCCAAGCTGCCTTTGCCGTGGTGCACCCTTGGACTTTCTTGAACTGATCCTTGGTGAGGGAGGTCCAGATTATTGACAAGACTTTGGAGTTGAATTTAGACCAGGACTTCTCTTCTGCTGTCAAAGTCAATCTTGGTTTGGGTCTTCTCACTCCATCCTCTCCAACAACTGTTGGTTCCGTCCAGCCTTCTTCAACCATGGTCCATGTGTCCTCATCGTAACCTTTGATGAGAGCCTTGATCTGAACCTTCCACCACCCGTAATTCTCTGCGTCGAGTACCAGAGACTTACTCGGACCAAGATGTTGCATGTTTTCCATACTTTATCCCACAATCACACCTGATTAATAAGAACAGACAATTCTTTAGCAGATACATGCTCTGATACCAATTGTAAGTGTAGAAACAGGCACACACAATCAATGACTTGGAAAGCGACAAGTCGAACGCTGGGTTTTATTATTTCGAATCAATAATTTAATCAATTGATTACAATTGCTTGGATTTACGTAACTCTACTCTAGAAAGCCACCAAACGATTCCTAGTAATAAAACCTACTCTTCTCTTGATCCCACAACACGTGTATCAGCGAAGAGGACACTAACCTTCTTGCTTCGTCTTTGTTTGAGGCACAAGGTTATCTAGATCAATTGCGGCACAAAGTGTGTAGCACAACTTTGCCCGACTTCTATCTATATATATTGTCCACAACCTAAACCTAGAACCTTTCTCAAATCTCTCGTAAGGTAAGATTCCATATTCCAAATATCCTTGCGTGCTCTCCAAGCTCCTCCTTGAATTGCCACGTCATTAGCTCCACGTCAGCTACAAGCTTCCGCGTCTTTCTGCCTCCTGGTATCCCGCCTGAGTTGTTCGCTGATTACACATCTTCATTCTGAACAAGACAGAACAAGAGAGAACAAAGAAGAAAACTCACACGGCATCAAATCTGCATACTTCAAAACTTGTTGTTGTTTTTAATGGACAGAACTATGAGTTCTGGGCAGCCAGGATGAAAAAAACTCTGATGAACCAAGAACTTTGGGAGGTTGTTGAAGAAGGACTTTCAGATCCGCCATCTAGATCACCCGAGACACCGAGAGCGGACTATGCAAGAGAGGTTGGAAACTGGCATTCCCTCAAGGCAAAAGACATTGCTGCACTTCAACTCATTCAACATGCTGTAGATGATGTGGTCTTCGACAAAATCCTCTCTGCAACCTCAGCCAAGCAAGTTTGTGAGCTCTTGGAACATTCCTATCAAGGTAATGAAAAAGTCAAAATGGTTAGATTACAAGCCTTAAGGAGAGATTTTGAGAATCTGAAAATGAAGGAAGGAGAAAATGTTAAACCTTATTCTGAAATGATTCAGGCTGTAGCTACTCAAATGAGAGCTCTAGGTGAAGGTAGATCAAACTTTGATCTTGTAGTCAAGATCCAAGCCTCTATGCCGAAAAGCTATGCTCCTTTGTCCTCATTGATAGAAGAAACTAAAGATCTAAGAACAGTTACGTTTCCTGAGCTGGAGGGATCTTTAGAAGCTCATGAGAAGAAGTTTTTCCCTGAAGATGAAGAAAATACAGAAGGTGCATTCCATGCATGTGTCAGAGGCCTGAATATTGAAAACAGTGGCAAGGCAAACTCGTGGAAGACTAGCTTAAAAAGGAAAGGGAATAAGTGGTGTGGGTTCTGCAAGAAAGATAACCACAACGAAGATGTGTGCTACTTCAAGAATGGAAGAAAGAAACCAGAATTCAACAGCAACAAAGGTACAAGAGAATGTTACAATTGTGGCAGAACTGGTCATTTTGCAAGAGATTGCAGAAGCAAAAAACCAGAGCAGGCACAAATCTCTCATGAAGATGAAGAAGTATAAGATAACCACCTGTTCACTACAAGACATGAAGATCAAGAATCATTTAAAGAAAATATTTGGCTGATTAACAGTGGTTGTACAATTCACATGACGCCAAATGAGAAGATATTCATAAGAATCAACACAAATTTCAATGTTCATATAAGTATTGGGAACGGTGTTGTGTTGATGACCAAAGGAAAATGAGACGTTGAAATCATGACAAAGAAAGGCAAGAGAATCATTCGAGATGTCTTTCTGGTGCCTAAGCTTGACAAGAATCTGTTGAGCATTCGTCAGATGATTGCAACTGGATATGAAGTTATCTTTAAGCAAGGGATCTGCATCATACATGATCAAGCGGGAAGGAGCATAGCTGAAGTGAAGATGATTAACACGAGTTTTTACATTAAATGGTCTTCAAGTGAAGAAACAGCATCGGTGGCAAAAAGTAAAGTTGCAGAATTCTCAAATCAAGCAATTTCTCAGCCATGTAAACAAGAATTCATTATGCTAGAGTGCATGAAACCAGAGTTCAGAGATCAACAATTTTCCAATCCAAAAGGGTGGATTGAGAAGAAGGTTGAAGCTGTGTACAAATCCGTTGAGTACCAGACAAAGGAGGATGGAGCTGAAGTGGAGAAGCCAAAATGCTCACTCACTATCAAGAGAGAAAGTGACCAGATTGATTAAAAATACCATCACACAGTTCAGAAAATTAAGAAGCAGAAATCTGTGATAGAAGTTGAGTACCAAGAAGATTCAACAACTGAAAACAGAGAAACCGAGTTGAACGAAACCGAAAGGCACAAGTTGGTGCTCAAAGAAGATACCAAACAGAAAAGAAGAAACTTACCCGAGAGGGAGCAGCAGCTGGTTGGAAAAACAGCTGAAGGAGACGTGAAGAAAGCTCACGGGAAACTGGAATCAGACGTTACAAAAGCGCGCGAGAGGGAGAACAAAAAGAATTCTCATAATCAAGGCAAAGGGAGTGTCAGCAAGAGGGAGTTTCATGACTTGAATTTCATAGGAAGCTCACCTCATAAGACAGAACCTGTAGAAGAGATTCAAAGCTCAGCCAAAATCAAACAAAACCATAGTGAAATAAAAAAATGAGTCGATAAAGCAAAAATTGGAGCTTTGCAAAGACATAAACTAAGGGAGAAAGCGTCAGAAAAATTACTTGTGAGTGACAAGAAGAAAATCATCAAAAGGGAGATAGAGCATATAGATTTTCCACAAAACCATACGCAAGACGAGTTGCAAGACTCAGTTGGTATCAAGCAAAATCAGAAGAATATCAAGATGGGAATCAGGTCAGGGAAAACTGTGAATTCGTAGAAAATTGGAAAACCAGAGAAAAATGAAATGATAAAGACGAAAGGGAATTCATCAGTGTTTTGCTGATGTGGTGAAAGAGATTTGTCCACAGAAAAGGAGAATCACCAAGGATGATCAAGGAGCAACAACGATCAAACCCCTAGATTTAAATTTGGAGATTAATTAAAAGATTCGAGAGGGAGTGTTGGAATCTCATCTTTAATTAATCCTTAGTTAATCCTGGATAAGAGAAATATCAAGAAAACGTGGCAGTGAGAAAGAAGAAGAGAAAGTACAAAAGTCAAAATAGTTGTTAATGTCCACTGTTCAGTTTGGTATGGTTTAGTGTTTGAGGTTTCTTGTTTCCTTAGGTAAAATCTATGTTGTGTAAGGAGTAGGAAAAACAGAGACTACTTCTCTGATTTTCTTCTATAAATATGTATTATGAGATGTGTAAGATATGCAAAAATCAGTTTCTCCATCTCATCTCGTTATCTACTTCAGTTCATTCTCTCTTTCAAAATGTTTTCTTTGTTTTGTCTTTGTACAAGAATCAAAACAGAGAGAACAACAAATAATAAAGCTAACCTGCAATAATCTGAAGTATCCAACATCATTCTCTTCAAGAACCTGTTTATGTAACCGTTAGTGTCAGTTTAATCTGTTTGAAGTTGATTTTTCTTCAAACGCCAAGAAGATATATCAAATCGCAGGGACACCGAAATTGGAAATCGCAAAAGAGGAGTTTCAGATCTCAGAAGTGTTTAAGGCGTAGAGAAGGTCAAAAGCAGTTTCAGGGTGGTTGCTTGGGGACTTGCATACACAATTCCACTCTTTGTTCCTTCACTGTAAGTATGAGTCCTTTTTTTTTGGTCAACATAAGTATGAGTCCTTAAAGGTATAAAAATCTAATTTGACCTGTGACTGATTGGTTTTCGGGTAAAACCGGGTTCTTAAACGATGATACCGAATCGACCCATATCTGACATGAACCAAACCAAACCCAACTCGAAAATTTAAAATACTCTAATGGAACTCATAGCCTAAAACCAAAGTAATAATCAAAACCTAAAAAACAAATCTGACCTGAAACCAATCGGGTACCCAAATACCTAGGGCTAGACTGATTTGTTGGTTTCTAGTTCTCGCTGATGAAAGGGTCTAATGATCAATACCATTAACCACTTCCTTAAATTTTGCATCAATAAGGATAATAAGTTTCTTTGGTCCCTTCCGGCTAATGAAGTCAATGAGGGAGCATAGATCACGCCATTTGTCGAACCAATAGCTAACGGTATTACCGTCGCCTATATGGCAGCTCAGCAAAGGTTTTATGATAAGATGTAAGGCGAGGATAGCATTCCAAACCCATGAAAGGTTGCATCATTTTTCTGCCAACCAGAAATTTAAGTGCTTAAGTCTATCCTCTTTATTCCAGGCCACCCACAGAGAGTCAGAATTTGAGAACATTAGCTGGACATACTGAGAGTTTATTCTAAATATGGAAGTACCTTAAGCAAAGATCACCTTCCACTTTAGGAAGGCAAATAGTCTTCCAAGATTTTTAGAAGTAGACTTCTTTAAAATGTCTCCAGACCAGAGGAAGTTTCTACAGAAATTCTCAATCACTTTAAGACAACCTTTAGAAAGAGGAAAAGCTCATAGCCAAATGTTGACCTGACTATAGATGATTGAGTTTATCAACTGGAGGCGACCAGCGTAGGACAAGCTCCTCACAGTCCAACTTGAAAACCTCTTTTTGATCTTATCAATTAGGGGAGAGTATTCAGATATGCGCATACGGCTACTAAGAAGAGGGAGACCCATGTACCTCATGGGGGATTAACCACTTTCAAAACCAGCTTCATCCAGGTTCAGATCCGCATGGAAAAGAGCTGACTTTTCTTTGCTCAGCCTCAGACCTGAGAGATGGTGGAAAGTATCCAAAGCAAAGGTAATACCTTGTAGAGAGCCAGCTTAACCATCAAAAAGATCATCATGTCATCTTCGAATAATAAGTGAGTAATCAATGGGTCCTTCTTCAAATTGCGAATTTAGGAGAGAAGCAAGAGTCTCCATTGAATACATTTTGTTGCTTGACTATACATCAAAAGGAACAAAAAGCTAACGTAATCCGGTTAAGGTATACATGTTCCAACATCAAATTAATTTATCCAAGTCAAATTCAAGTTAGTCAGAGTTTTAGAATGGTCTCCTTCCAAACAGATTAAGAAGTAACAGCACGTGGTAAGACTTACAAATATAAAAGTAACAAACTACCAACATACTATAAGAGTTACTAGTAAGAAGTAACAACAAAAGACTCCAAATAATAAGATAATAGTATAAGAAATTATCCAATAGCATAACCAGTTTCAGCTAAGCAACAATTTTAAAGAGGCCGAGAAAGCCTAATGCTGTATAAGATTGTGACGATAACTTAAGAACATGCATCTCAGAAAAGCGATTTTGATTTGGGAAACCAAAAACATCCGATGAGGCACAATATTCATTCATAAATTTCAATCCACAAACAAATTTATGCTTCCAATGAATTATTGCAAGTACCAGATTTAAAAAAAAAATAAATTATATCAAAAATTACATATTTCTCATACTGAGCTATATATATATGAATGATTTCCCTCAAGAAAATCAAACAGAATTCAAAACCCTAAACTTTCCTTACCCAATCTTTGATCCGCAGTTTTTTTTAATCTCCGTACGGAACACTCCGACACAACGGACAAGAGTTTTGCCGACCTAGCCACTAGAAGAGACAATCCTGATGAAACATATGTTTGCATTGAGACATTTGGATGATGTTTTAATGATTAATGGACAAATCCTTAATACAAATCGAACACTGAATCTCATTTGTTTCTTCTAAATCTATCAATTCCACTTTCTGTTCCTTCCCTAACCTATGAATAACTTCCCATGAAGCACCTTTCGACGGAGGAGGAACTTTTGCATTTGGCCGCCTGTTCTCGATTAAGCTGAGACCAACGGTTACGTAAACAGGTTCTCGAAGAGAATGATCATTAGCAAATGATTCATTGATCTGACGATGGATTGTTTCACCTAAATCTTGAGAGTGACAAACCTCTTGTTCATCAAGGAGTTGAGAGAGATGACTTGGTGTGAAGCCGCCACGTGGCTTCAAGCAGATGTGATATTTAAATATGTTACTCCATCGTCACTCTCTTCATCGATGATCAGTTCCTGCAGATGGATTAAGACTGTGTTCGTAGAGTTTATCGCTAGATTCGACACATTCGAATGGACATGGACTATATCAGATTCAGTTTCCAATTCCATGGCTGTACAAAGAAGAATTTAAACAGAAACAAAACCCTAATTTCAGATTGTTGAGAGAGAGAGAAAGAGAGACTGTGTGTGATTTGTTAAAGGTGAACGAGACTGCGATTTCTTAAAAAAAAGAGAGAGAGAGAGAGAGAGAGAGAGAGAGAGAGAGAGAGAGAGAGAGAGAGAGAGAGAGAGAATGTGTGATGAAGGAGATAATTTCTAGATAATTGGTTGTTTCCTTCGGAATTACCTAGTCACAGAAGATTTACTTCCATTTTTAATTGGTTGCATCCTTATTTTTAGAAGAGTATCTTCATTGGGGTGCACTGGGGGTTCTAATAGAGGTTCTCAAAATAAATAAATAATTTAAATAAAAAAGGGAAAGTGAAGAGAGGTTCTCAGATGAGAATATGTGTAGTAATCTTTGAGAATTTCATATATATTTCGTAGGTTATATCTATACTATTATTTGGGAAGTAGATTTCCGACGTGTCAAGCTTATGTTCATTCTCAGCATACTTTAGGCATCGATTTTTCCAATTATATCCTTAATAAAAACCGTGGTCGAATTATTGGTTTAGTTTCACACACGGTTTAGCTGGATAAGGATGGTTGTTCTTTTCGAATATACACGGTTTAGCTGGATAAGGATGGTTGTTCTTTTTAAATATATGAACTAATTGGGTAAGGATGGTTTTATTTATGAATTAGTTTGATAAGGATGGTTTCCCTTTTTCAATTTTTATGAAATAGTTGGATAAGGATGCTTTTCTTTTTCGAGCCGCAGCCGAATATATTCGCTAATGAATATTTATAGTTCGCCTTAGGTTACCGAGTATGTATAAATAATATTGCTTCTTTCACAATCTAAACTTCAAACCAACGATTTCTAGGTTTTCTTCTTACTTAGGGTTGGGTTTTGTTATTTTCGTATATATTGCTCCTTTGTGTTTGTATGTATATATTATATATCGCTTTCATATTGTTCTAAATGATTATAATTCGTAATGTTGTCATATTCGTTATTTGTTCGTCTAAATGATTATAACTCATGTATTTTTAATGTTCGTCTTTACTTTGTTCAGGCTGACGTCGCTATTGCTTGGTTTTCTAGTTATCGAGGTATGTTTGATGTGTTTATTGTGTTTTTAAATATATTGCTCATTTGTGTATGTATATATATATATATATATATAGTTTTCCTTGTATCTTATATGATTATAATTCTTGATTCTCTAACTGATTATAACTCATGTAGTTTTAATGTTCGTCTTTTCTTTGTTCAGGCTGCCGTCGCTATTGCTTGGTATTCTGGTTATCGAGGTATGTTTGATGTGTTTATTGTGTTTTTAAATATATTGCTCTTTTATGTTTGTATATATATATATATATATAGTTTTCCTGGTGTCCTATATGATTATAACTTGTGATTTTCAGTATTCGTATTTGGTTCGTGTGAATGATCCTAACTCGTGCTGTTTTCATGATCGTTATTTTTTTGTATAGGTTGTTGATAACTGTTGCTTGGTCTTCTGGTTATCTGGGTAAGTTTTATGTATTTATTGTGTTTTCGTATATATTGTTATTATATGTTTGTATATATATATATATGGTTTTCTGGTGTATATAATATAACTTGTGATTATTTCATATTCGTATTTTGTTCATGTAAATGATCCTAACTCGTGGTTTCTTTGTGTAGACTATTGCTAACTGCTATTTTGTCTTCTGGTTGTCAGTGTAATTTTGATATATATTATTATGTTTTCTTAAATATTGCTCTTTTATGTTTGTATATATATATATATATATATATATATATATCGTTTATATATAATTTGTGATTTTTTCATTTTCGTATTTTGTTATTGTATTTAACTGTTTGTTTTTTGTTGAATGATTTCGCAGGGTGTTGTTATTAATATAAATATCTTTGCGTGCATTGGGGTGCACTGGGGGTTCTAATAGAGGTTCTCAACATAAATAAATAATTAAAATAAAAAAGGGAAAGTGAAGAGAGGTTCTCAGATGAGAATATGTGTAGTAATTTTTGAGAATCTCATATATATTTCATAGATTATATCTATATTATTATTTGGAAAGTAGATTTCCGACGTGTCAAGCTTACGTTCATTCTCAGCATACTTTAGGCATCGATTTTTCCAATTATATCCTTAATAAAAACCGTGGTCGAATTGTTGGTTTAGTTTTACACACGGTTTAGCTGGATAAGGATGGTTGTTCTTTTCGAATATACACGGTTTAGCTGGATAAGGATGGTTGTTCTTTTCAAATATATGAACTAATTGGGTAAAGATGATTTTATTTATGAATTAGTTTGATAAGGATGGTTTCCCTTTTTCAATTTTTATGAAATAGTCTGATAAGGATGCTTTTCTTTTTCGTGCCGCAGCCGAATATATTCGCTAATGAATATTTATAGTTCGCCCTAGGTTACCGAGTATGTATAAATAATATTGCTTCTTTCACAATCTAAACTTCAAACCAACGATTTCTAGGTTTTCGTCTTACTTAGGGTTGGGTTTTGTTGTTTTCGTATATATTGCTCCTTTGTGTTTGTATGTATATATTATATATCGCTTTCATATCGTTCTAAATGATTATAATTCGTAATGTTGTCATATTCGTTATTTGTTCGTCTAAATGATTATAACTCATGTAGTTTTAATGTTCGTTTTTACTTTGTTCAGGCTGACGTCGCTATTGCTTGGTTTTCTGGTTATCGAGGTATGTTTGATGTGTTTATTGTGTTTTTAAATATATTGATCATTTGTGTTTGTATATATATATATAGATATATATATATATAGTTTTCCTGGTGTCTTATATGATTATAACTTGTGATTCTCTAACTGATTATAACTCATGTAGTTTTAATGTTCGTCTTTTCTTTGTTCAGGCTGCCGTCACTATTGCTTGGTATTCTGGTTATCGAGGTATGTTTGATGTGTTTATTGTGTTTTTAAATATATTGCTCTTTTATGTTTGTATATATATATATATATATAGTTTTCCTGGTGTCCTATATGATTATAACTTGTGATTTTCAGTATTCGTATTTGGTTTGTGTGAATGATCCTAACTCGCACTGTTTTCATGATTGTTATTTTTTTGTATAGGTTGTTGATAACTGTTGCTTGGTCTTCTGGTTATCTGGGTAAGTTTTATGTATTTATTATGTTTTCGTATATATTGTTATTATATGTTTGTATATATATATATGGTTTTTTGGTGTATATAATATAACTTGTGATTATTTCATATTCGTATTTTGTTCATGTAAATGATCCTAACTCGTGGTTTCTTTGTGTAGACTATTGCTAACTGCTATTTTGTCTTCTGGTTGTCAGTGTAATATTGATATATATTATTATGTTTTCTTAAATATTGCTCTTTTATGTTTGTATATATATATATATATATCGTTTATATATAATTTGTGATTTTTTCATATTCGTATTTTGTTATTGTATTTAACTGTTTGTTTTTTGTTGAATGATTTCGCAGGGTGTTGTCTTATTCAAGATGCGTTATACTGGTTAGTTCGTCGTCTTGTAGTTATTAATATAAATATCTTTGCGTGTTTATGATTTACAGGTTGTGATTTTAGATTTGCATTATATTTATGTCAATTTGTTAGAGTTGTTGATTATGATTCTGATTGTTGTAGGAACTTATGTTCTACTGTACCATCTTCCTGGTGCGAGTATCAACGCGAATTCGTTGAAGTTTACTGCTTGGATGGAATATAATAAGGTTGACCCGGATGCATGGTCATTGACTTACACGGAGTTCTTTACGAAGTTTGTATGGGATCGTAATAATAAGCGTTGGAAGCCTAGATACCATGGTGGTAGTAAACCGGGTCGTTTGGCATATTGTCCTGATACTTCTGGAGAGGTTTATTACTTGAGGCTTTTAGTGCTTAGGGTAAATGGCCCGACATCTTTTGATTCTATAAAGACGGTGGCTGATATTGTTTATCTGACGTTTAAAGATACATGCCGTGTTTTGGGTTTAGTCTATGATGATGAGGAGTACGCTGCAACGTTGTGGGAGGCAAATCGTTGGTATGATGGTTCGATGATGCCGGTTTTGTTTAGGGATTAATAATTGTATTGGTGTTTTTATGGACATGTGATCCTGTTTTATTATTTTATTTTTTTGATTTGGTATTATTTTAAATACTCTATTATTATATAAATCTACAAGTTACTCGAATCTTCGATATCTATTTGGTGTATTTCCTGTTTATTATATTTTGTATCTATCATATTTTAATTATTCTTGATTTTGACTTCTCAGTATATGTGTATTGTATAATTAAAAATGTTAATGTCTATGATGGGTATACCTTCGAATATACGGTTCTTATATATCGCTTGATATATGTTTAGTGTTAATTCACAGAGTAATAATGGATATTATGTGGTTAATATATTGTTAGATATGTGATTCGTATGTATCGATCAATAATTTTAATTATTCTTGATTTTGGTTTTTCAATATATGTGTATTGTATAATTGAAAATGTTAATGTCTATGATGGGTATATCTTCAAATATACGGTTCTTATATATCACTTGATACAGGTTTAGTGTTAATTCACGGAGTAATAATGGATATTATATGGTTAAAATATTGTTAGATATGTGATTCGTATGTATCGATCAATATGTGTCTTTTAGTGTTTCGTAAAAGTAATCATTGATGTATTCGTATATATTAACATGTCTGGGTATATTCAAAATCATTATTCAATATTGTTGGTAATATCCATTGTGGTAATATAGTACATATATTATAAGGAATTCTACATTTATAATTTTGAAATTATATATTTTATATAATAGATATTCGTATATATTAACATAATTCGCTATATTCAAAAAGGTTATTCAATATACTTGAGAATATCGAAAATAGTTATATAGTGCGTATAAGATGAGAAATTGTAACATCTCTAATATTGTAGTTGCGGTTTTTATATATAGTTTCCCATGTCTCTATCGTTTTGATTTTCGTTTGTTTGTATATTCAAAAATATACACGTAACAAATTACCATATATTTGATTCTATCATTATGTTGATTTTATTTTGTTATTTAAATATTATCTGAAATTAAATGTTATTGAGCCCAGTTTGTTCAGCGTATAAATGTAAACCCTAATTTATTACTCATTCTTAGATTATATCAACAGGATGTATATATTATCTCTAATTATTATGTCTTAATCTGTGCCGATAGACTTG